AACAGGTGCACAACATAAAAGATACACAAAATCAGCAGGGTGAAATCTCAGAGGTAAACGCTGTGCTGGAAGGATCCACAATGCAATTAGCTAAAGAGTGCTTGCAGATCCTTGTTAATCCAGAAAAGGAAAGGTGATAGCATGGAAAGGTGATAACATCTCCCTAGATGCTATCACCTTTCCTTTCTGAGATACCAAGGATCTAGAATGAATGTACACAGATAAGCACTCCATTCCTGGAAGACTTTTGGTAGCGCCAGCACACCTAAATACTAGCTAAAGAGTGCTACCTTGCCATGGTTCTGTTTTTCTCATTGTGTTCTTACCATTCTCTGAAACTCAGGGCTCTATCGGATGATGGATCAAAGCCAGTACCTGAATGTTTATGTAGGAAGGCAAAACAATATTCCCCCCATCCTGGAAAGGCTGCACATTTATAGTAGATCCCCTCAGTCGATTAGAAGCATTTTTATTGTGTGATGGAAATGGGATCTCAAAGAACACGTGTTCCTGCAACCTAGGAAGGATGCTGTTTTGCCTTATACTGTATATCCTGACACTGTAAAGGCATACAGCCTTTAGACATACAGCCTTTAGTTTCTTTGAGTGTTTAATGCATCTGTGTGTGTGTGCATCCTGTCTGCAAACCTCTCTTGGACCCTGTGTCTCTGCATACCTTCTCTTGGACCCTGTGTCTCTGCATACCTTCTCTTGGACCCTGTGTCTCTGCATACCTTCTCCTGGACCCTGTCTCTTGGACCCTGTATCTCCAGTGTGATCTCTCCTCCTGTCCTGTCCATCAGAGCGTGGCAGCCAGGACAACCCTCTCCCTGTGCTAGGCCTAATCCTCCTTATCTTAATGGAATCCCCCTGCTATCAGCAGCGTGGAGGGAACAATCGACCCTCTGTGTTTCTTTATCAGCACGGCCACCCCCCCCCCTTCAATACCTCAATGTCACCTGCTGTGACAGGTATCCCCTCTCAGCCTGATCCTATCAGCCACCCTGACCCTTCACTGTCCATCACTATCTCCTGTTGGGACTATGTTGTTCTGTGTGCTTACTGTTTATCAAACATTATTTCAAATGAGGAATATAAGAGATGTCACTGTCAGCCAGTAGAGATAGCCCCTAGACAAATGTTTAGAATAGACCCATCCAGACACATTATGTGACTTACTTGATGTACACTGAGTGTACAAAACATTAAGAACACCTGCTCCTTCCATGATATAGACTGGCCAGGGGAATCCAGGTGAAAGCTATGATTGCTTATTTATGTCACTTGTTAAATCCACTTCAATCAGTGTAGATGAAGGGGAGGAGACTTTAAGGACTTTTAAGCCTTGAGACAATTGAGACATGGATTGTGTATGTGTGCCAATCAGAGGGTGAATGGGCAAGACAAATGATTTAAGTGCTTTTGAATGGGGTATGGTAGTAGGTGCCAGGCGCACCGGTTTGAGTGTGTCAAGAACTGCAACACTGCTGGGCTTTTCATGCTCCACAGTTTCCTGTGTGTATCAGGAATGGTCCACTAACCAAAGACATCCAGCCAATTTGACACAACTGTGGGAAGCATTAGAGTCAACATGTGGAACGCTTTCGACACCTTGTAGAGTCCATGCCCCGACCAATTGAGGCTGTTCTGATGGCAGTGCAACTCAATATTAGGAAGGTGTTCTTAATGTTTTGTATACTCAGTGTATATTTATTTTTCTTTGCATGTACTCTACTTCAATTGGTCTCCGTAGTCCCACTTTGATGCCTGCAGCTCTGCAGCAGGGGAGTCCACAGATAATTTCAGTTCAGAGGAAATCTTTAAAAACGATATCATGTGGAAAACCCAAGGTTCGCATCTGGCATAGAAGGACCCACAGTATTTCTACACCATGTAAAACGATGAGATCAATACATTCAGTGACTCTAGGTAGGATTTTAATGTAGTTGTAACATGGTTGGAGCACTTAGCTCAGCCTCGGCATAAACACAGTGTCCTGTTTTTGTTTTTGCTAGAACACTTCTTGTGAAAGATATGTCCATTTGTTATTGACTTTTACAGTTCCTTCTTATCTAAAATCTTTATTTAAAGTCACATATCGCCCTCTACAGGGTATGAAATTGATAATATTCCAGATGTGAAAGTGATATTCTCTGTTTCACCTTTTACCCTTTTAGTTCCCAAAAAAGCTCCCAGAGCGCTGGTCCCATTGAGTATTGTCAAATTAACCAGGGCTTTTACAGTAATGAAGGTTCCCATTTATTCTCAATTCTAATAATGATATGTTTGTAAATCTTGTGTAATTCCCTCTTTTGTTGTTGTTGTTGTTGTGATGTCCGTTATCAGTGGTTAATGGACGATGAGGCGTTCCGGCAGCAGGCAGTAATTGCCTGGAGCACAACAGTGGGAGAGTAATTACAGGGACACAGAGTAGTATATGACTTCATAACTGGCACCATTTAATGATAATGGGGTGCAACTCACAGTACTGTGGTCAGCTAATCACACTGGACTGGCTGGGACACATCTCAATGCAAACGAGCCGTGACTGGAATATAGAGTAGCAGCTCGCCCACACAGCTCAGCACCGTTCAAAACGGGAGCATGCATATCATTATGACTGTGACCCTCTGCCACCGGCAGTGCCATGATTAGTGTGACCACGGATGGACAGGTTTAATTGTAGATAAACTAATCTCTTCCTGTCAGTAAGCAGTGGATGAATACTCACACATTTCTCTGCTTTTACAAGCACAGATTGTCCTTTTAGGATGGCACAATGAAAACATTACAATGACCTTGTCTAAAGTATTCAGAAACTATGAAGTAATATGTTCATTATATGAAACAGTCATTGTACATTGAAGTGATAATGCCCGAGAAGCCGGTGTTTGGAGGATATATTGGCATGGGTGTTGTTAGGCAAACCGTGCCAATATATCCTCCAAACACCGGCTTCAAAGGCATTATCACTTTTATACAACGGGTTACCAACATATTCAAACAATGATTGACATATTTTCATTATAAACGTTATTTGGATGAATTTATTCATACTATTTCATCCTTCCACAAGATATAGTCCCGACACAAATCTAGGGTTGCTACCCAAGCCGGCTGGTCGTTCGTTCTACCGGTTCGGTTGCCACAGACGCGACCCAGTCGTTCAGTCTTTTTGTTCTGTATCTATGGACGCGACCCAGTCGTTCGTTCTAAATGTTCCATTGCCATACTGGCTGGCAACGTTCTTATCCCTTGCTTGCCAGCTAGCCAAGTACGGCTAATTTACAGTCACGTCAAACAGTGCAGCCAGAAAAACAACAGTAGCTGCATTTGCATTTGTTTAAGCTGTTTTCTAGTGACATTTATTTGGACACATCCATAACAATTAGCTAATGAGGTGTCGGTTTGCCTGGCATAGAAAATGTGCTCTCTCGCCACAGGACACTGTTGTTCAGAGGAGCTATCCAACACCACAGCTAACACAATCACTTCAAACTGAAGCTGGAAATACTGCAAACTAGCCGCACTTCGTTTCGTTTTATCTTTTTTCAATTGACATTTATTTTTATATATCCATAAAAATGATGCCAGCTGGAGATCGAATTTGAATATTGAAACAATGTTGCAAATGTCGGAGAGACAGACAGCAAGGTTTATACAAATCTCTGCTGTTGAAAACTAAATGTTAGCTTAAAAGAAATGTGAGATAATGTGTAGATGCTTTTTATAGTGGAGAGCACGTTTATAAATTGCCTGGCTGGGCTGATGAGACAGTGGATTGTGCAGTCAGGTGGAACAGAGTAAATAGGAATTTTAGCGTCATAGATTTTGCTGGTGGTAACTTGTGGAATAGACACTGGCTGGAATGCGGTTTTAACCAATCAGCATTCAGGATTAGAACCACCCGTTGTATACGTGTTACAGACAATCTGTAGGAGGATAATATAATTGGCTGGGGTTTATGTGTTATGTCACTCCTTTTCATTTGAATTACAAATTGAATCCTAACTTCCTGACAAATCACAGTTTTAAACCTAAATGTGTATTCTATTCTTTGATTAAATTCTCAGACCTAATGCTGCGTTTATTATCAAGTGGGAAGGTGGAAATTACCAGTTGTGAAGTCTTAAATACCATCTGGATATATTCATGGGCTTTGAACTTATTGAGAAACACTGATTGGCTAATGGTCAACAAGCTGCATCAACCATAAACTAAGTAACTATTACAGCTATCCCGCTTGTAAACAAATTATTGTGTTCAAAAACTATATTAATAGATAGCTTTTTTATCAATAATGTTTTGTTGTTGCATAACTGTCGAAAAGGCTGTTATCGAGGTCATTTCCTTAGTAGGTGATGTCAGAGATCAGCATGTTGGAGAAGTCGGAGCTCAGGGATGATAGTCAAGTTTCCCACATGTTACCAGTTGGAGGGGCGTTCCCAGTCGTATGTGGTTAATACAACCTTCCCACTTGGTTATGAATCCAGAATTAGACCTCATCTCCAAACTACAGAACCATGCATCCCAATAACATCTCATTTCTTCTGAAGTGTACACTTGTTCACTACTTCCCACAAGTAGCATGGAGGGAGTTTCCACCATATTTCTTGTACCAGTCATTTCCTTTCGAATCATTGAAGGGAAGTGTACAAGTGCACACTTTGGGAGGAAAAATAGATAATTGGGACGTAAACAGTTTTTTTTCTTCAGTAATGTGTGTTTATTTCTTTAAAATGGTTGCGTGGTGCATTATGGGTAACTAACATCACATTAGCCAATCAAATGCTTTGTATGCTGATGCGTTGTTATGGAGGTAAAGTCAAGCTGAAAACATAGGAGACTGATCAAACTTGGATTATACATATATTTGAAACTTGTATGAACTAGCCAGCGAATTTTCTAAGTATTTCGAAAGCTTCTTTTTTTTGTCTTCAGAATTGCCAATACTGGCTCTTTGCTCTTAACTTTACGTTACTTTTGGTCTAGCTAGCAAGCTAACGTTAGCTAGCTGGCTAAATTAGCTTAGTAGTTAGATATCTAACAGCCAGCCCTCTGTTCAGTAGATAATGGCCTCGACCGAACGGTTGAGTGCCTTGCGAGAGCGCAACAAAGACTTGTTGATGCAATTGAGGCACCAAACCGAAAGACTATTGACTATCACCGGCACCAAAGGCAGCTCGGAGAATGATTCAAACCGGACAGCACAAAACAACACAACAAAAAACCCAGGTCAGAATAAAGAAAAAAGCCCCTCTGCAGAGAACATGGTGACCCTGGTAGATGGTGACTTATGTACTGCCAGGTCTGTTCTCAGTAAACCTACTGTACAGTTCAAGGAGAGAGACAACACTGAAACACAGACAACAGCCCCACTGAGAACTGAAGGTAGGTAACGTTAACAAGCTAGATATACCAATTGAATGCAAAGGAACTGCTGACATTGACTAATATTGGCATATCAGTCACATCATAAGATTTCCATAGAAATAATGCTGAATCCATTTTTCCTCAGGTGAGGCAGTGGAATCTGTGAATGTCACCCTCTGTCAAACCTCTACACCATACCTTATCACGGGAACCAAGCTTAAACCAGGCCAAGCTGCAGAGCACACTACTGTTCACACAGGATTGATTCAAGACCGAGGCAACGGCAGTCCAGCAAGTCTTGTCAGATCACTGGATATTAGGAGGCCCTATACCAGGCCTATTCGCTATAATCAGGAGAGTGACCGGGTGAGCAAAGTAAAAAGGGAGAAGGGAAATGTTGTTATTATACAAGTGGTGTAAGGACAGTTCTGTTCAACAAAGTTGTTACTGTAGTAATTACCCTATTACTACCATAGATAATATAAAAAGAAAGGTTACTACAAACAGGTATATCATCTCCCACTAAATGGCACTGTATTATCAAAGTGGGGCAGTACACCCACAGATAGAACAATGAGGCAGATGTTTACCAGATTTATAAAGCTGAAGCATCCGGTTGGCGTTTCCACTCACAACCAAATATGGTGATGAGAGGAAGCCCAGTGGCCGGCTGTGGGAGAAGATGGAGTGAGGTGGCATTTTGCCAACAAAATTAAAATATGTTACAAACAGAGTGGACTAAGTTTAGTAGACTTTACCTTTTGCCAAAGTTTCTAAATTGCTTTGTTTAGAAGGAATGCAAGGGCGAATTAAGTTATTGCACATTTCACAGAGTAGGCGTTCCCTAACAGAAATATGCAAATGCATGCTAGAACGTGCCAATAGGATCTCGGTAGCTCGTGCTTGGTACAATTGATTGTTGGTACAATTGATTGATCTACCATTTCCCTCACTTCTGTATTTTTATTGAGCAACACATTTCACCTGTAAAATAAAATGTTTTGCCCTCTGCTTGTGTCCATAGAGGGAGGTGGGTAAAGTCACATTCCAATCCCCTGGACTGGAGCAGACATCAGCCTCAGACAGACAGCGTCTGCAGCCTTTACTGGGCTATGACTGGATAGCAGGTATGCCAAGAAATGAGTTCTATACATAAATAAAGCTAACCCAACCAGTTTAGTTGGGTAGCAGCTAAAATGTTACTCTGTTTGAAATTGATACTGTTCTCCTCCTCCCTTAGGGATTGTGGATGCAGAAAGCTCCTTGACAGAGCGCTCTGAGCAGTTCTTCAGTGATCTGCGCACTTTCCGACAGGTCAACAGAGATGAGTGTGTCCACAGCCAACAAGCAGGGTAAGTGCATTCACTTAATGTAATATATTTTTCTTGAGCTGTGAACTTGATTTGGGTTTCAAGTATTTTTAACCAGAAGTTCAGACTATAAGAGGACTATGACTGAAATAGATAATAATTATTATTTAATGAATAACTGTTGATTTACCCTCCTCACAGATTATCTGAAGAGGACCTCTCACCCCCACCACTGTCAATAGAGAAGGAAGACCAACAGCACACCATGGATACTCACCAGTGTATGAGAAACCATAGCAAGCTTTTGGATTAGACCTACATAATGTCACTATTGCTTACTGAAGAAGAGACCCTGAATACTGTAACTGTACTGTCTGACTCTGTTTCTCCTTGTTGTTTAGGTACGTTCTGTTACAGGATCAACAGCCGACTGTTCCCAACCCCGTTGGATTCTCAGGAGTCATGCCCTGTGTGTAAGAAGCCCAAATCCCAAATCCCCCACACTGTGGCTGAGCCAGCCTTTATCAGGTGAGACCACTCATTCGTTTGGTGACACTTTTCAAATTCTACTAAAGTGAAGTCCATTACAAACCAGGATGGTGTTTTAATACCATCCCGTTATAACACTTGTCCTCGTCATAAAGAATATGCTTTTGTTTCTGTCCCAGGGTCAGCATCCCTCGCTCCACGCTGTTGCCAGCATACCAGTACAAAGCCCATCGGAGGTGTAGCTTTGACCCCTCCGACACCCTGGGTCTACCATCGGTGAGTGTGGCCTGTGTGTTAATAAGAGAAGACTTACTACATCTATAATGTAGACATTGAAACACGCTCCTCAATCATCTGAATTCTACTGTTCTGTTATTTGTCATCTTGCTCATTCTCATTGCTTATCCGGCCCATAGTTCTCCCCAAACACTGTAATAAGGTTTTAGTTCTAGTTGTATCACAAGCCTTTGATTTGATGTTCCTTACAGCACTGTCTGTCAGGCTGGTCTAACACAGTCCCCAGCACTGGACCCCAGCTCAGCAGCCTGGATCTGAGGAGCTCTGTGGACATGAAGACAGCATTCTGTGGAGTCCCCTCTGCACAGCCACAGTCTAAGGAGAAACTGGTGAGCCATTGCAAGATGAAAGAACACATATCACAGGTCTTGGTGGCCGCGGCAAAGATTTCTGTATCTTAGCATGTGTTTGTTTGGCATACTGGTATGTCTGTGTCTGGTTGATTTGGTTTTCTATTTTTTCTCAGGATCTTTCAGTGTCCAGAGTGTCTGGCAGTCAGCGCTCTGACCAGCTGCTCGACGTGTCTCGTTTGGCCGGCTACCGTTTCCAGCGCCTGCCTCCCAACAACAAACCACACAGCCCGTCCTACCCTGTGTTCTGACAACCTAACAGCACTATAAAACCTGTGTAGTATGATGATTTCATATTTTTACATGGCTGAAATATTTAATAATGATGCCGAATTAACCCTCAGCAGTTTTAACGTAGGATTCTGAATGACATTGTGCCTATTGAATCATTCATTTATCTTAATTTTCTACGATATACTTATATAATGTGTTAAGTGCTTGATTTTCGTGTTGATGACCTACAGATATGATTTAAGGTGCAATATGCAGAAATTGCTCTGCCATTTCCTGGTTGCTAAAATTCTAATAGTTTATGTGATAAAACAAGAAATGTATAATGTAGATAATCATTGTACCATCTAAACCGCTGTGAAATATATTTTAAATAACCAAAAATATTATATTTTTAACTGTTTGAAGCGGGTATACAAAACCAAAAGATGCAAAAATGAAACATAAGAACTGGAAGCATAGAAATAGTGCACATATAACATATTGCAACTTTAAGATTGGTACCAAGATAATACGATGTAATTTGCTTAAATAGTATTACCATCAATTGACTTAATTTCCATTGTTAGGGTCGACAAATTAAATTAGATTTCACCTTGTTATTTTTTATGAATGCATGTTGATGTCTTTAGGGGTTTGTGGTGATGATTTCTGGGGCTTCAGAGGGACAAATAGTGGACATTAGTGTAAGTGTTTTGCATACCTTAGAGACAATTTGACTTGACTCATTATAAAATGAATAAATTAACAGAAGGGAAGACCTTGTTTGAAAACTCTTAAAAAGAATGCGCCTTTCCTTGATCTGACATAATTGGATATGTCGAAGCTATAGAGGTAGGCAAGGGAAAAATGTGCCCTTTATCACAAAATTGGATATGGACTTATGTTTTAAAATCAACATTCAGGTATTTTTTTTGGTAACATTCAAGTCTATATCAGAAAGGTGTTTTTGGTGATGCAGCCAGCCTCTAGTGCTGTTAATTCGTCACCACCTACAGGCAACTGCCAATATAAAGGAAACACCAACATAGTGTCTTAGATTAAGATCCCTTTATTGGTCAAGTGAATGTGGGCAATGGTTGCACACAAGGTTCAACCGAAATTTGACTTCTGTTTTCAAACCAACCCCTCCGAAAGACACACATACAAGTTTTTTTGGAGGTGCAGGGGGCTGCCACACTGGGCCCCGTTGTTGTGGGGGGTTAAGTGCCTTGCTCAAGGGCATAATGGTAGGCAATAGCATCTAGGATTTGATACCAGCAACCCTCCGGTTCACAGCTCACTTCCCGCCAGATTTTTCCAGTCGGACCCGGGATTCGAACTTGCAACCCTCCGGCTGCTGGATCGCCTATAACCGCTAGGATACCTGCGGCTCTTAATAGGCCGTTGGGCCGCCAGAACAGCTTCAATGCGTCTTGGTATAGATTCTACAAGTGTCTTTATTATTTTAACTATTGGAGGGATGTGACACTATTCTGACACAATACATTCTATCATTTGTTTTTTTTGTTGATGGTAAACGCTGTCTCAGGCGCCGCTCCAGAATCTCCCATAATTGTTCGATTGGGTTAAGATCTGGTGACTGAGACTTTTGAACAATTTCTCCATTACCAGGGTTTTGTCTAGAAGGTATACAGCATTTGTCCGAAATGTACTTTTCATACCAGGTTTAGGAGACTTTACGCAGCAGGTTAGGAGAATTGGGTTAGCGAAAATGCGCAAAATTTTTTTTTTGACAACAACTGTATCCCATCTAGACATGACCCATTACCATCTGCCCACGAGAGATGACCACAGGTGGAAAACAGATTAACACAAGTGGAAGTGTCCAACAAGCGCGCTATATTTATCTGCTTCTTTATTGGACAACCCACTGACTACGTAACCCCGCTAAACTCGAACATTAACAAAACCTTCGCTGCATCTATTTTAGCACCTTGACCAGAGATTCAACCAGGCATGGTAATTTAACTATTTTCTGCTTGTTTCTTTTGAAAGACTACATTTAACAGCTGGCTTCTCTATAGTGTGAAATGGATTATCAACGCCATATTACCTCATGTCCTTTAAAAATATTTTGCCTTTTTAATCTGGTAAGTAGGCCTACTGTATGTTTTATAGATGCGATTGGGTTTAGTTTAGGTACTGTAATTTTTGTTTTGTTTTTTGATGATGATGAGAGACTTAGATAATTAACATTATTATGATTACCTGTTTATGATTATTGTGGAGATGATGATGGTGGTTGATTATGATATTATGCTAATGATAGTATGATCGTTATTGCTGTTATTATTCGTGTTAATGATACATCTTTTATAATTGTAATTACAGTAGTCTATCATATATGATGTTATAAATTGCAGTATCAAACATTTTATAAATGTAAACCCTTCTCTCTCAGTTGATAGGTGTAGCCTACTTTTCAGATATGAAAGTCAACAAGCAACATAAAACAATTAGTAGTTAGGGTACTGCTCTTACAGAAACTGAAACCTTTAAAAAAAAAAATCATAACCCTAGTGAGCCTGGCGGCAATTGGTCCTACACTGCCAGTAAATGTAGTAATTCTAGGATTGTGAAACGTTTTATAGAGCAGTTAATTCACTGAAATCAAGAATGCTCTCATAACATTTTTTCTATCATCAGGGAGTTAGTTTATCGACTGTTAATTATTAGTTCATAGATTTAGATAGCTTGTGAATCTATAATTAACAGTTATTATAACAGCTGAAATTGTGATTGTTATTTTGGTGCTTACCAAATAGTGAACTAGAAAAGCTTTGTGACTGAACCATTATTGATTTGGCCTATTGCTCTTTTTATTGCCAGTACAGCCAAAATAAACTCAGTTTTTGTGTCAACATGAACATGAGTGTGTAAAGCTGAACTGTTAACCTAGTTTATACTCGTTTTTGTTTGTGTGGGTGTTTTACCAGATATTTCTTGGTACATTCTGTGACAGTCACTCATTTCTGAACTGGATATTGTTTGGTCTGTGGGTTTTGCCTCCAGGAAGCATAGCCGCGGGAAGTAGGGGTGCTGCAGCACCCTCTGAAAAATCTGAATTTAACAAAAAATATTAACCCAAAAATATATAATACATTATTTCATTTTTTTTATCCACAAAAGTAGTGCACTGGGACTTTACTAGTTCTGTATTAGCAGACTGATATAGCCGTCTGTAGCTATGCCAGGAAGTGTAGGTGTAGTGTAGATAACCGACTCTGTAGGTGCAAGATAGCCTTGGCATTTCCATGTTGCAAGGTTCATCATCTGTTTACTGGCAGAGTAATCTCGGTTTATCTAGAGCATAGTTTGGTCAGATGCTCATAGTCTGTCCATGAGAGATTACTGCCAGAGGGCTGGGGGAAAGTAACTCTTATACATCATGGCTGGCCTTCACTCTAAGAACTGGAATATTCTGTTGTTGTAAAATAAAATAATGATTCCTCTAATGATAATGGTTCTCTCTCTCTCAATTCAATTTCAATTTCAATTTAAGGGCTTTATTGACATGGGAAATGTATTTTAACATTGCCAAAGCAAGTGAAGTAGGAAGTAAACAAAAGTTAAATAAACAATACAAATTAACAGTAAACATTACACTCCAAAGTTCCAAAAGAATAAAGACATTTCAAATGTCATATTATGTATATATACAGTGAGGGGAAAAAAGTAGTTGATCCCCTGCTGATTTTGTACGTTTGCCCACTGACAAAGAAATTATCAGTCTATAATTTTAATGGTAGGTTTATTTGAACAGTGAGAGACAGAATAACAACAACAAAAAATCCAGAAAAACGCATGTCAAAAATGTTATAAATTGATTTGCATTTTAATGAGGGAAATAAGTATTTGACCCCCTCTCAATCAGAAAGATTTCTGACTCCCAGGTGTCTTTTATACAGGTAACGAGCTGAGATTAGGAGCACACTCTTAAAGGGAGTGCTCCTAATCTCAGTTTGTTACCTGTATAAAAGACACCTGTGCACAGAAGCAATCAATCAATCAGATTCCAAACTCTCCACCATGGCCAAGACCAAAGAGCTCTCCAAGGATGTCAGGGACAATATTGTAGACCTACACAAGGCTGGAATGGGCTACAAGACCATCGCCAAGCAGCTTGGTGAGAAGGTGACAACAGTTGGTGCGATTATTCGCAAATGGAAGAAACACAAAATAACTGTCAATCTCCCTCGGCCTGGGGCTCCATTCAAGATCTCACCTCGTGGAGTTGCAATGATCAAGAGAACAGTGAGGAATCAGCCCAGAACTACACAGGAGGATCTTGTCAATGATCTCAAGGCAGCTGGGACCATAGTCACCAAGAAAACAATTGGTAACACACTACGCCGTGAAGGACTGAAATCCTGCAGCGCCCGCAAGGTCCCCCTGCTCAAGAAAGCACATATACAGGGCCGTCTGAAGTTTGCCAATGAACATCTGAATGATTCAGAGGAGAACTGGGTGAAAGTGTTGTGGTCAGATGAGACCAAAATCGAGCTCTTTGGCATCAACTCAACTCGCCGTGTTTGGAGGAGGAGGAATGCTGCCTATGACCCCAAGAACACCATCCCCACCGTCAAACATGGAGGTGGAAACATTATGCTTTGGGGATGTTTTTCTGCTAAGGGGACAGGACAACTTCACCGCATCAAAGGGATGATGGACGGGGCCATCCACGTCCCAAATCTTGGGTGAGAACCTCCTTCCCTCAGCCAGGGCATTGAAAATGGGTCGTGGATGGGTATTCCAGCATGACAATGACCCAAAACACACGGCCAAGGCAACAAAGGAGTGGCTCAAGAAGAAGCACATTAAGGTCCTGGAGTCTCCAGACCTTAATCCCATAGAAAATCTGTGGAGGGAGCTGAAGGTTTGAGTTGCCAAATGTCAGCCTCGAAACCTTAATGACTTGGAGAAGATCTGCAAAGAGGAGTGGAACAAAATCCCTCCTGAGATGTGTGCAAACCTGATGGCCAACTACAAGAAACTTCTGACCTCTGTGATTGCCAACAAGGGTTTTGCCACCAAGTACTAAGTCATGTTTTACAGAGGGGTCAAATACTTATTTCCCTCATTAAATTGCAAATCAATTCATAACATTTTTGACATGCGTTTTTCTGGATTTTGTTGTTGTTATTCTGTCTCTCACTGTTCAAATAAACCTACCATTAAAATTATAGACTGATCATGTCTTTGTCAGTGGGAAAACGTACAAAATCAGCAGGGGATCAAATACTTTTTTCCCTCACTGTACAGTGTTGTAACAATGAGCAAATAGTTCAAGTACAAATGGGAAAACAAATAAACATAAAGATGGGTTGTATTTACAATGGTGTTTCTTCACAAAATTGGGTTTGTTTTCAAATTCTTGGTGGACCTGTGTAATCTGAGGGAAATATGTGTCTCTAATATGGTCATACATTTGGCAGGAGGTTAGTAAGTGCAGCTCAGTTTCCACCTCATTTTGAAGGCAGTGTGCACATATCCTGTCTTCTCTTGAGAGCCAGGTCTGCCTACGGCAGCCTTTCTCAATAGCAAGTATATTCTCACTGAGTCTGTACATAGTCAAAGCTTTCCTTAAGTTTGGGTCAGTCACAGTGGTCAGGTATTCTGCCACTGTGTACTCTCTGTTTAGGGCCAAATAGCATTTTAGTTTGCTCTGTTTGTTAATTCTTTCCAATGTGTCAAGTAATTCTATTTTTGTTTTCTCATGATTCGGTTGGGTCTAATTGTGTTGTCCTCTCTCTCTCTGTCTCTCTCTCCCAGGTATGCTCTGTATTGTTGTCCAGCTGTCCTCATATCTGTGACCCAGGTAAAGTCATCAGCTTATCCCCCTAAACTAGATTGTAAAAGTGGGATGAAAGATTATACTTGTCTCACAGTGTTACAAGGTGAATTTACTTCATGCTTTCATCCAGCAAAATGACTTTCAACCATCTAGTGCAGGGATGGGCAACTTCGATTGGGGTGGGGGCCACAAAGAAACTCATCATGAGGGGCCACAGTTGTTTGTGGGTCTGCATACCCACATCCATACTCATTTTGCCATTGGGCGGAGAGAAAAAGTAGCAGTTTTACAGCTAATTCCCTGCAATTCTACACATTTTGCCATAGGGTGGATGCAGTTTTTAATATGATAACTGATAATCAATGGGCCCCACCCCGGTCGGTAATTCGACCATGCTTACTACAAGTTTAGATAGCTGGCCACTAGACTAACTTTTTTTTTTCAGACATGGGCTAATTGAGTGACTGCTGATGCACAACCAAATGTCGAAATTGTACCTTGTGTATTCTATTACTGAGTTCTCCCCACCCATCCCTGATCAGCCAGTTGCCCATCCCTGATCTAGTGATTGCTAATTAATTATACACTGTCAGAGACTGGCACTCTGGAGCCTGTGATGAAATGTCATGGCACAGGAAGTAGCTGAGCACATGCAGTATATCGTTTTCTGTGGAATGTGATATTGGTAGATAAGGATGCAGTCGATGACCTTTGTGATGACTAAACAGGCTTTCTGTCACATCGTTGGGAATAGATTTGGGGAGATGGCCTTTATTTGCCAGCCACAAATGTTGCTAGTTCCTGTTCTGACCGACTGACATGCAAATAAATGACCTTTAGAGATGACAGACACAGTCAGCTCTCTGTGTCCATGTGAAGGAGATCCTGCTGTCACACAAACAACATTTCCATCCACAGTTGTATGCAGCTAAAGTCATACATTATTTTAAAAAAGATTGATTGCTGTGATGGAAACAGGAAGTTTGGGTACATTTTTTAAAATGCTGACAGAAAATGTGTTCATCCGATATGGTCGGATCTTTTTGTGTCAATAAAAAATTATTATGTGAGAAATGTCGGTGGAAACGCCTTTATGCGCAAATATTGAAATAATACCCATCATATCGAAGTAAACTTGGATTCATGCGATGATATGGTGTGTGGTCCTCCCACTACGACTCTGGAAACCATGCAGTTTATTAGGCTACAGATGAAATAAATTATGATGAACTTTACAAGGTGGTGAAAGTGCACGGTGATCTTGATGCTCCTTTCCAATAAATATTGAGGGTCTTATTCTGGTGACATGATGATCGATGCTTGACTGCCGTTTGACAAATAAAAATCTTCTTGCTCTTAACCATAATAATCTCATCATGTAGACTAGCCTACAGTATCTGCGAGCTGTTGGCTAGAGTGCACGTGGAAAAACCAGATTAGGCACATTTGCTATTTAACGCAACAGTTTTTGTGACAAAACTATCGCTAGAGTTGAAAATGCGATGGAAACACATTGAACTTTAGATTTTAGTTCGGTACATGAAAACTTAACGAAGCGAAAAGGTACATTTTGTGTGCACTACGTCATCACGCACTGATTTTTATCCGCAACAAGTCCGTTTGATGGAAACACACCACTGGTGGAAAAATTTGGCATATTTTCTCCACATTCAGAACAGTCTTTGAGGACTAATTTCTCTTCCATTCCTGACTCCTAACTTCTGTGAACCCATGGGACGTACTAAAGTGACTGTAAATGCACTGAAAGAGAAAAATAAGTCAGAGAGGGAACAAGTGTGTAATCAGGATGTTGAGACCTATGTGAAAACCTCCTGTCATGTATCTTTGCAGGCTTCTTCATTAACAAGTGTAAGTGTGTCTCTTGTCCCGATGGCAAGTACTTGTACATGCAGAACGGCCTTCCGAAGTGTGACCAGTGCACCGAAGCCTGCTCAGGTAACTTTTACAGTTAGGCATTATATTGTGTTCTTTCATTCCTCAACACTAAACGTCATACCCATAATTTATTATTTACCTCAAGGAAATCCAGTAGGTATATTGGTAACAATAGTTTAATATAAAATGCCATCATTATTTTACATTAGTTGAATAAAGGACAAACATATTGAGAGCAAATGTCTCATAGATAGTTTGTGTGTCTTTGTTTGTGGGCAAAGTTGATCAGCACTTGACACAGGTGAAGGAATGCGGCCGGGACTCAAACCGTGAGTGCCACTGTGACAGTGGCTTTTTCTGTGCCAACACTGCCCAGTATACCTGCAGGAAGTGTAAGCCGTGCCCAGCCGGCACTTTCTCCATCAAACCAAACCTAACCATGTCCTGCAAACCCCACACAGAGTAAGTCCACAGCTATACAGCACTGGTGCTGAGCACTGTACTGATTCAGACATTGTCTGCCTGCCATAAAGACTTTACCTATGACGCTGTAGCTCCCTCTACTGGATGTATGTACACAAGGCCTACTTTTACAGTAAATTAAGTTATTATTATTACTACTAGGATCCAACACTGTACTTTCTCATTTAGATTAACCACCTCACAAGTTCTCTCCTGGCTTCTCTCCAGTTGTGACCATAAGGGAATGACCATGGAGACAGAGGGCACTGCCTCTCAGGATCGTGTGTGTAAACAGACCTCCCCTAACTCTCCTACAACCACTGCACTTCCAACTGTCCACAGCTCAAAGATAGGCTTTCATTCTTCTACCTCCAGTGGAGTCGGCACCACCCGAAGACCCCTCATCATAGCATTCCCATTTAGACTGGTGGGGTCTACATCTCCTGATGGTATGGCTCTTATGAGAGCTTTCTCTCACTTGAGTGAATCAAAGCATTTCCTGCTCTGTCCACTGGAGCACTTTAACATGCTTCACCAGTCCAGCACTAGAGGTTGCATTGTCCTGTGATGTTATCTTGCCATTTAATCACACTCATTCTCTGTTTTTCCAGCCTTTCCCTTAGCCACAATTGACACATCTGCAGACCCTTCACCAGCCTTACTCACCAGGTCTTCTCTGTCCCAAGCCCAGAGTGAGCCCTCTACCTCCCCCCCAACTGGGAAACAGGTCACTGAACACAGCTCCTCTGACCTCAACACAAAGCTCACCACCAGGAGAAACCCCAGCAAGGTGGACAGTAACACCTCACCTGCAGAGTCTGCCTCTGCACCTCCTCTTACCACAGAAGACAATGGTATGGTTCTCAGAAGACTAGAGTATCCCATCTCTCCATTTATACTAGATTATTCATTATTTCAGAAATACATTTGTAGTTAGTGTAGGCCCTAAAGCATCTGTAATATTCAGTAAAAGTAACATAACACTGACAGGTTCAGCTTCCTGCTCCTGACTCTCTACCTCTCCATAACACTGATACAGTAGTATTTTTTCTCTGCTCACCCCATCTCCCAGCCACAGATACTGGACCGAGCTCTCCCAATCTACCTTGGCAGCTGCTGATAGGTGGGCTACTAGGGGTTGTCCTGCTGCTGGTTGGTTACTTTGTGCATTGTAGGGGGAGGTCACTGGAGTCCATGCACAAGTGGAAAGGTGAGTGAGTAAAGTGGTTAGATAACACAAACACATTATGCAGTGATGCATCAGATTATATGCCACATTTCCCTTTCTATATAAGACACAGTAAATAAATACACTCACAATAATTACGAGGAGACAGTGAAACATTGTGTGTATACATGCATATAAAATATGCATTTTGATTTCTTGATTTATTTTATATTCCTTTAGATCCAATATTTCGTAAAAATGTGAGTACAGTACTAATTCTCTATTTGCATAAAGTATGTATCGAACTTCTGTCCATTGTTGCTAGAAGTATAAACGTTGACTTCTAGAAAGTCAAATGGGTCACTGTGTGAGAATGTGTCCATACCTTTAGGATGAGCAGATTTGCAAGGAACGTCTAAGAGGGAGCTATAATGCGTGGGAGAGCCATCCTTGTCCTGCTACCCTACAGACGGCTTCCTATGTACAGGCCCAGCCACCACAGGAGAGAAGCCCACACCTGGAGGCCCAGCATCTTCTGGGGAGGGAGACTGGGGGAAATCCTAGACAGGATGGTGCAGGGTTGCTACCGCCAGGGGGCATGCAGCAGGTCACAGTGGAACACTCTGGAGGAGAGAATATTAGCAACACAGTGGGTAGGTGTGGTGCATCGCTCTGCACTGGTACTGAAATTATTAAATTGCATGGATGTCATATTATTACACTGTATCTTATGTTTGCATGCTGTGCAGCCACATTTGGACAGACATACATTGGCTTGCGAAAGTATTCACCCCCCATGGCATTTTTCCTATTTTGTTGCCTTACAACTTTGAATTAAAATGGATTTTTTTGGGGGATTTATATCAGTTGATTTACACAACATGCCTACCACTTTGAAGATGCAAATTTTTTGGGGGTGAAACAAACAAGAAATAAGAAAAAATAACAGAAAACTGGAGCGTGCATAACTATTCACTCCCCCAAAGTCAATACTTTTTAGAACCACCTTTGCAGCAATTACAGCTGCAAGTCTCTTGGGGTATGTCTCTATAAGCTTGGCACATCTAGCCACTGGGATTTTTGCCCATTCTTCAAGGCAAATCTGCTCCAGCTCCTTCAAGTTGGATGGGTTCCGCTGGTGTACAGCAATCTTTAAGTCTTACCACAGATTCTCAATTGGATTGAGATCTGGGCTTTGACTAGGCCATTCCAAGACATGTAAATGTTTCCCCTTAAACCACTCAAGTGTTGCTTTAGCAGTATGCTTACGTTCATTGTCCTGCTGGAAGGTGAACCTCCTTCCCAGTCTCAAATCTCTGGAAGACTGAAACAGGTTGCTCTGAAGAATTTCCCTGTATTTAGCGCCATCCATCATTCCTTCAATTCTGACAAGTTTCCCAGTCCCTGCCGATGGAAAAACATCCCCACAGCATGATGCTGCCACCACCATGCTTCACTGTGGGGATGGTGTTCTCGGGGTGATGAGAGGTGTTGGGTTTGCGCCAGACATAGCATTTTCCTTGATCGCCAAAAAGCTCAATTTTAGTCTCATATGACCAGAGTACCTTCTTCCATATGTTTGGGGAGTCTCCCACGCCTCCTGTTTGGGGAGGTGAACACCAAACGTGTTTGCTTATCTCTTTCTTTAAGCAATGTATTTTTTCTGGCCACTCTTCCATAAAGCCCAGCTCTGTGGAGTGTACGGCTTAAAGTGGTCCTATGGACAGATACTCCAATCTCCGCTGTGGAGCTTTGCAGCTCCTTCAGGGTTATCTTTGGTCTCTTTGTTGCCTCTCTGATTAATGCCCATCTTGCCTGGTCCGTGAGTTTTGGTGGGCGACCCTCTCTTGGCAGGTTTGTAGTGGTGCAATATTCTTTCAATTTTTTTATAATGGATTTAATGGTGCTCCGTGGGATGTTCAAAGTTTCTGATATGTTTTTATAACCCAACCCTGATCTGTACTTCTCCACAACTTTGTCCCTGACCTGTTTGGAGAGCTCCTTGGTCTTCATGGTGCCGCTTGCTTGGTGGTGTTGCAGACTCTGGGGCCTTTCAGAACAGGTGTATATATACTGAGATCATGTGACACTTAGATTGCACACAGGTGGACTTTATTTAACTAATTATGTGACTTCTGAAGGTAATTGGTTGCACCAGATCTTATTTAGGGGCTTCATAGCAAAGGGGGTGAATACACATGCACAAACCACTTTTCCGTTGTTGTTTTTTTAAACAAGTAATTTTTTTTCATTTCTCTTCACCAATTTTGACTATTTTTGTATGTCCATTACATGAAATCCAAATAAAAAATCAATTTAAATGACAGGTTGTAATGCAACAAAATAGGAAAAACGCCAAGGGGGATGAATCGTTTTGAAAGTACCAGTTAAATGTTTGGACACACCTACTCATTCCAGGGTTTTTCTTTATTTTTTAAAACTATTTTCTACATTGTAGAATATTGGGAAGACATCAAAACTATGAAATAACACATATGGAATCATGTAGTAACCAAAAAAGTCTTAAACAAACTAAAATATATTTTATATTTTAGATACTTCAAAGCAGCCACTCTTTGCCTTGATGACAGCTTTGCATACTCTTGGCATTCTCTCAACCAGCTTCATGAGGTAGTCACCTGGAATGCATTTCAATTAACAGGTGTGCCTTGTTCAAAGTTAATTTGTGAAATGTCTTTCCTTCTTAATGCGTTTGAGTCAATCAGTGTTGTGACAAGGTAGGGGTGGTATACAGAAGATAGCCCTGTTTGGTAAAAGACCAAGTTCATATTATGGCAAGAACAGCTCAAATAAGCAAAGAGAAACAACAGTCCATCATTACCTTAAGACATGAAGGTTAGTCAATGCCGAAAATGTCATGAACTTTTAAAGTTTCTTCAAGTGCAGTCGCAAAAACCACACATCAAGCGCTATGATGAAACTGGCTCTGATGAGGACCGCCACAGGAAAGGAAGACCCAGAGTTACCTCTGCTGCAGAGGATAAGTTCATTAGAGTTACCAGCCCCAGAAATTGCAGCCCAAATAAATGCTTCACAGAGTTCAAGTAAAAGACACATCTCAACATTAACTGTTCAGACGATACTGTGTGAATCAGGCCTTCATGGTCGAATTGCTGCAAAGAAACCACTACTAAAGGACAGCAATAAGAAGAAGAGACTTGCTTGGGCCAAGAAACACGAGCAATGGACATTAGACTGGTGGAAATATGTCCTTTGGTCTGATGAGTCCAAATTTGAGATTTTTGGTTCCAACCGCTGTGTCTTTGTGAGACGCAGAGTAGGTGAACGGATGATGTCCGCATGTGTGGTTCCCATCGTGAAGCATGGAGGAGGAGGTGTGGGGTTGCTTTTCTGGTGACACTGTCTGTGATTTATTTAGAATTCAAGGCACACTTAACCAGCATGGCTACCACAGCATTCTGCAGCGATATGCCATTGCATTTGGTTTGCGCTTAGTGGGACTATCATTTGTTTTTCAACAGGACAATGACCCAAAACACACCTCCAGGCAGTGTAAGGGCTATTTGACCAAGGAGAGTGATGGAGTGCTGCATCAGATGACCTGGCCTCCACAATTACCCGACCTCAACCCAATTAAGATGGTTTGGGATGAGTCGTTCCGCAGAGTGAAGGAAAAGCAGCCAACAAGTGCTCAGCATATGTGGGAACTCCTTCAAGACTGTTGGAAAAGCATTCCTCATGAAGCTGTTTGAGAGAATGCCAAGAGTGTGCAAAGCTGTGATCAAGGCAAAGGGTGGCTACTTTGAAGAATCTCAAATATAAAATATATTTAGATTTGTTTAACACTTTTTTGGTTACTAAATGATTCCATATGTGTTATTTCATAGTTTTGATGTCTTCACTATTATTCTACAATGTAGAAAATGGTAAAAATAAAGAAAAACCCTGGAATGAGTAGGTGTGTCCAAACTTTTGACTGGTACTGTATTTCTGCTACCGTGTCCGAGAACTAGGGGCATAGAGGTCCGGAAAAACTCAGGTCTGGAAAAATGTTTGTGACTCAATGTTCTTCGCAAGGAAGTTTGTTTAATCTCACTTGCGTCCGAGTTCAAATTTCCCTTTCCAGTTGTTTTGTTTGGCTGCGAGTTGAGACACACTTCTAGTTTTAACTTCCTGTTAAAGTATACCTGCCAAGACACAGTAGCACCACTGCAGTGCTGCAGTGTATAAAACAGGGTCAGTGGTTAATTTAGTGAGGATACACAGGAAACCACAACCAACACACAGAAATACAATCATGTATAGACCCTTTTCCAGTACAAGAAACACTGACGTCACATACAGATGCGCGCGACTCTTGGCGGCAGTAAGAAAGCCATCACCATCTGCGCCCATTCAACATAGCCTACATTTACATTTGTGTTACTTCAAACAAAATAACTTTTTTGGGGTTCTCATACCCTTCAAATTATGTTTGGATTCTTGCATGAACAGTCGCTAAGATTATATTTGGTTGTGATCTTTGCAATATAACTATTTTGGATGCAGCAGTTTTTAGCTAGAATGCTAACGCTCATTGATATAGGCTGTAGCAAAAGCTAGCCAAAGAGCCATTTTAGTGGTTGAAGTTAAGTATAATGCAGTTGATTTGCGATGATGACACAACATTATATTAAGCAGGATATTCATAAGAGCCTTAAAATCCAATTATAATCCAAAAGTAGTGTGAATTGCACTAATAAACAATATGTACATGAAGCCTTTTTTTTGCTGGCATTCTATAACTCCCCCTTGTTCTGCCACCAACCTGCGCGCATTGCTCTCGTGCAGCAATGTTTGTAAACACAGAAATGGGTCTATATGCTGCTGAGTAAGGCCAGCTTTTCACTTCCTCTCTGTACATTTATTACATTACTAATTCCACCAGGTTTTATATCAGTATTTACTGTGCATAATAGATAGGAATTTGTGTGTCACCTGTTTCAATAGTTTAATCTAATAATGTTTGTGCTTGTTGGTGTTTGATTCAGGGTCCATATACATCTACTCTCCGGGGACGGTTGTCCTGGGATACAACAAGTCAGAGAGGAAGGTGGATCAAGTGGAGAGTGGAGTAAAGGGCTGTCCCCTCACCAGCACACCCCAGCAGGAGTCCTCCTGCCCCCTCCCTGGAGGCCACGCTCTGGGGCCAGAGAGAATGAATATACAGGAGGAGACTTGCAAAGAGCTGAGCTACCCCATCCCAGCCACCAGCAATTGAGAACTAGAGAAAATAGGAAATTGAGGATTAACTATGGAAAAAGCCTGAGGAGGAGCAAGTTAATTAAATATCAAATACCATCTCTAGGGGAAGAGTACAGATAGATTATTATTTGCTATTGTAAAGACTGTTAGATTGGATGGCTTCCTTCTGTACAAGGATAGCCAAAGCCACTGGGGTCCTTCATGGGTCTTCTATTATGAAAGAGTGACAGCTTTGTTCCAACTGTATGTAATAGTCTTAGCACGGTTTCAAATTCACTGTAAGTCACTGTTGTGACAGCAGTGCTGGGACAGTCTGTGAGAGCAATGCATGGTCTGTCTGATATAGGATGTCGACACTTTGAGTCGGAGTTTCCCATGATTGGGTGCATGTACACAATAGCGGCAGATAGTGTGAGAGCCGCCCTCAGCTTTCTGCTCAAATTATACTACGTGTATCAACCACACAAAAACAGCAAAGACAAGCAATTCATATGACTTCACACCACAGAAACAGCAAAGACAGGCAATTAATATGAGGTGTGAAGTAACGTATATAACCATGATACAAGTAGGGGTTGGGGTGTGAAGAGCTTACAATTTGCATTGTAAAGTAATACAGGGACTGTCTGGGCAATTTAAACTCAAACATAACCTTTGTTCTGTGAATTTGTGATCAAGACATTGCTATGTACAGTAGCCTACAGTACATGTACGATCTACAGAATGAAGACAGAAGAACGATGATTTGATAAGACAATAGCAATCTGTTCCAGTCTATTCCTTGATAGAAATGTACAGAAATGAACCAACTATTTCAAGTCATCTCTTTATGGTGAAACCACTTATGTAGATGACTATGACTATGTGCAGCCAATCACTGTCTGGTAATCATGCAGACTGTAATGAACAAATGTCATATTTTGTGTGTTTGACAAAATAATGTGCTGTAGGCTATGCCATAGCATGAGCTGTTTTATTAACCCTAAAAGCACCAACAGGGGTAAAAAATGGCCTAATTTCGAAATGTTTATTTTTAATCCTTATGAATCTTTTTTACTTTGTCAAGCAACTATTTACCGACAAAACGCACCATTTACGATGATTTCTGTGTAAGTATGGAGGAATGAAAAATTGTATTTTGTATTGTAGTGGTGCTGAAAATGTTGGCTCAACATTTTGTGATAAACACACCAAATTTGACACAGAGGTAGATGTATGTACCCTGAAAATATATAGATATGGAGCCCCACAGATTTGGCCCCTGGGGGGCGTGGCAGCCACTATAACTTATACATAACTAAAATGTTTAGATTTAGATTTAGATTACAGTCAATGGCTCTATACCAAGTTGAGAGTCTCATCTTTCAGGCGCAATTGGAACTGAGTTTATACACTCCTAGAAAAAATGGTTCCAAAAGGGGTTTTTCAGCTGTTCCCATAGGAGAACCCTTTTTGGTTCCATGTCGAACCCTTTCTAGAAAGGCATTTTACCTGGATCCAAAAACGGTTCTTCAAAGGGTTCTCATATGGGGACAGCCAAATAACTTTTTTAGGTTCTAGATAGCACCTTTTTTTCTAACAGTGTAGCCCATCGCATTCCAAAGTTAAAGCTAAAAGTCTGATGGCTCCAGTGCCAATATCGCCAATTTCTCAGCCTCTGAGTATCACAGAAACACAACACTTTGAATGAACAGAAAAATGTTAATGACAAGTTGCTATGGATGAAATTGATCAAAACATGGAAAAACATATATTTTAAAACATAACATTTGACTATAAATGTGTACAATTTTTAAATATATGTTTATTGTGTTACAAAAGGTTAATGAAAGAAAAAGTGTAACTGCTTGACATTTGGGTACATTGATGATTTGAGGAAATTGTATTCAAAGGTTACTGCAGTACAAAGACGCCCTCCGTTTTTCTCAGCCAGTCAGCATTTCAAGGAAACGTGCACTTTTCTTCCGGGCTGTAATTCGAGCTTTCTTCTGTAGGCTACCTATACGGTTTCAGTATGGACTTTTTCTGATGATCTTAAAGGGTCAATAATAGTTCAATCAATCATGATACTAAGGACTGTAGGTGGCATTCTTACAGTAAGGATTCTTCTAGCGATCATGGTGAAGCCTGTTGAGAACACGGTAATTGTCCTGCGGATTTGAATATTGAGTGGCGCGACCATGACAACGAGAAATGGGTGCAGCCTGACTAATGTTTAGCTAAATAGGATACTCTTTGCAGTGTTGTATGATCATCAGTCTAATCATTATTTGTTAACTTTTATCTAGGTCAAGGAATTGTGTGTGTGCGAGAGAATGTTGTGTTGTCTTGGATTTTTCAACTTAATTTGTCAAGGTATTGTGACGTAGAATCTAGGTCTAAAATACATAGGATTTGAAAAAAAGTCATCAACAAAAACTTGTTTTGACGGTGAAGTTTCAACTACAGGATTATGTAATAATTGTAACCAATTTTCAACATAGACAAACCTTGTATAAAATATGTTGAATTTGTACATTTGAAACAACGTCACTGACTACTACCAATGTCCTATCATGAGAATAATTATTGAGAGATCTCTTAATAACTAAATATATTCACTGTTGCTATCGAAGTCATTCCAACGGGTTGGTTTAACAGAACAAATGAAATGTAACCACACTTTATGTCATATCATTAATGATACTATTTAGGCCTATATAGCATTTGCAAAGTCATAAACATTGTTCTTGTCTATTAATGTTCTGTATTATGTCATGTTTCGTGTTTTGTGTGGACACCAGGAAGAGTAGCTGCTGCTTTCGCAACTGCTAATGGAGTTCCTAATAAAATACAAAACAAACAAAAAACCCAGGGTTAAACTAAAAATAGACACTACATGTAGGCCTAGGGTTTCAAGCTTTGGTTGATTTCAAATGTAATCTTCAAGTTTATCATTAATTTGTTGAATTCACATCTCCCTCTCAACCAAAAATCCAAGTTAAAGAATAGGACTAAATCAAACTTTATTTAAAGTGCATTTAAAGTTTGATTTAGGTTAGATTTAGTCCTATTCTTTAACTTTAGATTTTTGGTTGAGATGGAGATCCAACATATAAATTATTAATTTGTAGACAAATTAGATATTGAATTGTGTTTGATTGTCAACACAACCAGATGTACAGTGGGGGAAAAAAGTATTTAGTCAGCCACCAATTGTGCAAGTTCTCCCACTTCAAAAGATGAGAGAGGCCTGTAATTTTCATCATAGGTACACGTCAACTATGACAGACAAATTGAGGAAAAAAAATCCAGAAAATCACATCGTAGGATTTTTAATGAATTTATTTGCAAATTATGGTGGAAAATAAGTATTTGGTCACCTACAAACAAGTAAGATTTCTGGCTCTCACAGACCTGTCACTTCTTCTTTAAGAGGCTCCTCTGTCCTCCACTCGTTACCTGTATTAATGGCACCTGTTTGAACTTGTTATCAGTATAAAAGACACCTGTCCACAACCTCAAACAGTCACACTCCAAACTCCACTATGGCCAAGACCAAAGAGCTGTCAAAGGACACCAGAAACAAAATTGTAGACCTGCACCAGGCTGGGAAGACTGAATCTGCAATAGGTAAGCAGCTTGGTTTGAAGAAATCAACTGTGGGAGCAATTATTAGGAAATGGAAGACATACAAGACCACTGATAATCTCCCTCGATCTGGGGCTCCACGCAAGATCTCACCCCGTGGGGTCAAAATGATCACAAGAATCCCAGAACCACACGGGGGGACCTAGTGAATGACCTGCAGAGAGCTGGGACCAAAGTAACAAAGCCTACCATCAGTAACACACTACGCCGCCAGGGACTCAAATCCTGCAGTGCCAGACGTGTCCCCCTGCTTAAGCCAGTACATGTCCAGGCCCGTCTGAAGTTTGCTAGAGTGCATTTGGATGATCCAGAAGAGGATTGGGAGAATGTCATATGGTCAGATGAAACCAAAATAGAACTTTTTGGTAAAAACTCAACTTGTCGTGTTTGGAGGACAAAGAATGCTGAGTTGCATCCAAAGAACACCATACCTACTGTGAAGCATGGGGGTGGAAACATCATGCTTTGGGGCTGTTTTTCTGCAAAGGGACCAGGACGACTGATCCGTGTAAAGGAAAGAATGAATGGGGCCATGTATCGTGAGATTTTGAGTGAAAACCTCCTTCCATCAGCAAGGGCATTGAAGATGAAACGTGGCTGGGTCTTTCAGCATGACAATGATCCCAAACACACCGCCCGGGCAACGAAGGAGTGGCTTCGTAAGAAGCATTTCAAGGTCCTGGAGTGGCCTAGCCAGTCTCCAGATCTCAACCCCATAGAAAATCTTTGGAGGGAGTTGAAAGTCCGTGTTGCCCAGCGACAGCCCCAAAACATCACTGCTCTAGAGGAGATCTGCATGGAGGAATGGGCCATAATACCAGCAACAGTGTGTGAAAACCTTGTGAAGACTTACAGAAAACGTTTGACCTGTGTCATTGCCAACAAAGGGTATATAACAAAGTATTGAGAAACTTTTGTCATTGACCAAATACTTATTTTTCACCATAATTTGCAAATAAATTCATAAAAAATCCTAAAATGTGATTTTCTGGATTTTTTTCTTCTCATTTTGTCTGTCATAGTTGACGTGTACCTATGATGAAAATTACAGGCCTCTCTCATCTTTTGAAGTGGGAGAACTTGCACAATTGGTGGCTGACTAAATACTTTTTTCCCCCACTGTATCTTCTGCTTGGATAGTTCAATCTGTGCCACTGACTTAATCTGGCTTTAATTACAGTTTGTCTACAAAGTGAGAGGCCTTGTCCCGTGCAGCTCAGTTTGTAGAGCATGGCGTTTGCAACGCCAGGGTTGTGGGTTCGATTCCAACGGGGGGCCAGTATGAAAATAAAATGTATGCACTCACTAAAACTGTAAGTCGCTCTGGATAAGAGCGTCTGCTAAATGACAAAAAAATAAAAAATGTTTATTTTATTTCACCTTTATTTAACCAGATAAACCAGTTGAGAACAAGTTCTCATTTACAACTGCGACCTGGCCAAGATAAAGCAAAGCAGTGCGATTAAAAACAACAACACAGAGTTACATATGGGGTAAAACAAACAAAGTCAAAAATACAACAGAAATACATATAATATACAGTGTGCAAATTTAGCAAGTTATGGAGGTAAGGCAATAAAATAGGCTATAGTGCAAAATAATTACAATTTAGTATTAACACTGGAATGATGTGCAAGAGATGATGTGCAAATAGAGATACTGGGGTACAAATGAGCAAAATAAATAACAATATAGGGATGAGGTAGTTGGGCGGGCTAATTTCAGATGGGCTGTGTACAGGTGCAGTGATCGGTAAGGTGCTCTGACAACTGATGCTTAAAGTTAGTGAGGGAGATAAGTGTCTCCAGCTTCAGAGATTTTTGCAATTTGTTCCAGTCATTGGCAGCAGAGAACTGGAAGGAATTGCGGCCAAAGGAGGTGTTGGCTTTGGGGATGACCAGTGAGATATACCCACTGGAGCGCAGACTACGGGTGGGTGTTGCTATGGTGACCAATGAGCTAAGATAAGGCGGGGATTTGCCTAGCAGTGATTTATAGATGGCCTGGAGCCAGTGGGTTTGGCGACGAATATGTAGTGAGGACCAGCCAACAAGAGCGTACAGGTCACAGTGGTGGGTATTATATGGGGCTTTGGAGACAAAACGGATGGCACTGTGATAGACAACATCCAATTTGCTGAGTAGAGTGTTGGAGGCTATTTTGTAAATGATATCGCCGAAGTCAAGGATCGGTAGGATAGTCAGTTTTACGAGGGCATGTTTGGCAGCATGAGTGAAGGAGGCTTTGTTGCGAAATAGGAAACCGATTCTAGATTTAACTTTGGATTGGAGATTCTTAATGTGAGTCTGGAAGGAGAGTTTACAGTCTAACCAGACACCTAGATATTTGTAGTTGTCCACATACTCTAGGTCAGACCCGTCTAGAGTAGTGATTCTAGTCGGGTGGGCGGGTGCAAGCAGCGTTCGGTTGAAGAGCATGCATTTAGTTTTACTAGTGTTTAAGAGCAGTTGGAGGCTACTGAAGGAGTGTTGTATGGAATTGAAGCTCGTTTGGAGGTTTGTTAACACAGTGTCCAATGAAGGGCCAGATGTATACAAAATGGTGTCGTCTGCGTAGAGGTGGATCTGAGAGTCACCAGCAGCAAGAGCGACGTCATTGATATACACAGAGAAAAGAGTTGGCCCAAGAATTGAACCCTGTGGCACCCCCATAGAGACTGCCATAGGTCCAGACAACAGGCCCTCCGATTTGACACATTGAACTCTATCTGAGAAGTAGTTGGTGAACCAGGCGAGGCAGTCATTTGAGAAACCAAGGCTATTTAGTCTGCCAATAAGAATGCGGTGGTTGACAGAGTCGAAAGCCTTGGCCAGGTCAATGAAAACGGCTGCACAGTACTGTCTATTATCGATCGCGGTTATAATATCGTTTAGGACCTTGAGCGTGGCTGAAGTGCACCCATGACCAGCTCGGAAACCGGATTGCATAGCGGAGAAGGTACGGTGGGATTCGAAATGGTCGGTGATCTGTTTGTTGACTTGGCTTTCAAAAACGTTTGAAAGGCAGGGCAGGATGGATATGGGTCTGTAACAGTTTGGATCTAGAGTGTCACCCCCTTTGAAGAGGGGGATGACCGCGGCAGCTTTCCAATCTCTGGGGATCTCAGACGTTACGAAAGAGAGGTTGAACAGGCTAGTAATAGGGGTTGCGACAATTTCGGCGGCTAGTTTTAGAAAGAAAGGGTCCAGATTGTCTAGCCCAGATGATTTGTAGGGGTCCAGATTTTGCAGCTCTTTTAGAACATCAGCTGTCTGGATTTGTGTGAAGGAGAAGCGGGGGGGGGGGCATGGGCAAGTTGCAGCGGAGGGTGCAGAGCTGGTGGCCGGGGTAGTGGTAGCCAGGTGGAAAGCATGGCCAGCCGTAGCAAAATGCTTGTTGAAATTCTCGATTATTGTAGATTTATCGGTGGTGATAGTGTTTCCTAGCCTCAGTGCAGTGGGCAGCTGGGAGGAAGTGCTCTTATTTTCCATGGACTTTACAGTGTCCCAAAACTTTTTGGAGTTAGTGCTACAGGATGCAAATTTCTGTTTGAAAAAGTTAGCCTTTGCTTTCCTAACTGCTTGTGTATATTGGTTCCTAACTTCCCTGAAAAGTTGCATATCGCGGGGGCTATTTGATGCTAATGCAGTACGCCACAGGATGTTTTTGTGCTGGTCAAGGGCAGTCAAGTCTGAGGAGAACCAGGGGCTATATCTGTTCTTAGTTCTGTATTTTTTGAATGGGGCATGTCTATTTAAGATTGAGAGGAAATTAGGTTGTGCTATTAGAGGAAGCACAGTGATAACACATTTAGATGACAACTAAACCACAAATCGGACATTGTTTTTCCATTGGAATTTGGTTGTGCTTTTAGATGTTTGAAAGCATAGTGATAACACATTGGGAATTCAACAAACTTTTGCCTGTCTTTTTGAGTGGGTGAATAAAGGTTGAAATCTCATTGATCAACGTCTCAACCAAATATTACCCACATGTCCAAGGTTGAAATTACGTGGTGTGCCCAGTGGGTCGTTTTTTATTAGTGGGGCACCAGGACAGGGGGTTGATTAAAATATGTCAACCTGTCACAAGAAGAATCAAGATACTTCTGAAAGCATACATAAGACAATGGCATGCTATATAAAGCATGGTAAAGGGGCTAAGCACCAAATCTGGCATAGCACCAGATGTAATGATCTTGGTTTCGGGATGACATGATCTCAAATTGGATAACCTATGGTCTGTATAGTATGCTTGCAGCTTTGATATTTAGTTTTTTCAGTAATGGATTATTTGTTTGTTTGGAAAAAATCTATTGCACCGAGCACCTAGGTGCAAAAGCATTTAATTAATTACTAATTTCACCATCAAAAGAAACACTGATGTTTTTGTAAAGCTCAATATTTCATTTTCAGTCTTAATTCGAGTGTTCCACAAAACCAAACTCCTGATTCAGTTTTCTGATTTGATATGTGTTTGTTTTGGATGGCTGCCATAAATGAAAAGGAAATGCCTGTTAGGGTCATTCTGTCCATTGTACAAAAGACTGCAAGAGAGGATGATAGTGAGAGGCTTTGGCAGCGGTGTATCTTTGTCTTTCAGACCACATACCCAGTCCTTGGCAACTTATTGGAAATCTCTCCGATCTCGTCAACCACTTCCTGTCAAACACGAGACACTGGAGATAGACAGATTGAGGATTTTAAATTTGTTTTACTGTCTGTACATTGTGTCTTGTGTATGAAAAAAAATGTATGCACTCACTAACTGTAAGTTGCTCTGGATAAGAGCGTCTGCTAAATGACAAAAATGTAAATGTACTGGCAATCAATGACTATACCACAGAGGTGTCAGTGTATATTCCTCAGTTCCCAACAGTCTTCTTTTTTGCTGACACAATACCCAACCCTCAGGTTGTACACTCTTAGAAAAAAAGGTGCTATCTAGAACCTAAAACAGTTCTTCGGCTGCCCCCATAGAAGAACCCTTCTTGGTTTCAGGTAGAACCCTTTTGGGTTCCATGTAAAAACCTTTCCACAGAGGGTTCTACATGGAACCAAAAAGGGTTCTCCTATGGGGACAGCCAAAGAACCCTTTTGGAACCCTTTTTTCTAAGAGTGTACTAGAAGTTTAAATAGAAGGCTCTTGTTGGGCCATGTTACTCATCACTCCTCCTCCTGATCAGGTGCACTTCATGGTCTCCTTGTCCCTACAGTTGTACACTCAGCCATACACACCAGACTCTGACGGAACCTGCCGCAACAAAACAGCTGAATACTATAACACAGATGTAAACCTGTGCTGCAGCAAGTGTACTTCTGGTAAGGTGTAATCCTAAACACGAATGGAACGGAGAGGAGAGGACATCCTTAGAATCTTAGCACTAAATATGACCGCCTCAAACATTACAATACTTTTACAGCACTCTGTAGGTTCTGGAAAATGGACGTACTGAGATGATTACTGTAAATTATACATTTATGCCATTACAGGGACACGGCGGAAAGTTGAATGCAGCTCTACCTCAGACACGGCGTGTGAACCATGTCCTAGTGGCCAGTACAGTGGGACCTTTAATTACTTCCCAAAATGCTTCAGATGCCCCAAGTGTTTAGCAGGTGGGTGGGTTATATTATTTTACTTTTTTGTTGTTGTTGTCATTTTAGCAGACGCTCTTATCCAGAGCGACTTACAGTTAGTGAGTGCATACATTTTCATAGATTATTGCAGTAGATGCTTGGTCATGTTATTATTACAGTGACGCAGCTACGTTGATACATGTGTAGTCTTTAATGAGCATTTTATTTCTTTATGTGTGAAGACAAAGGCCTGCAGTATGTCCAGAAGTGCTCCAGAACCACCAAGACCCAGTGTGCGTGCAAGACTGGGATGTACTGCGTACTGGACCAACACCCGGAATGTCAGGAGTGTGCCAGTTATACACGCTGCAAGCCTGGCCACGGGGTCTCTGTAGAAGGTACTACAGCTGGACAGGAAGCCAGTAGGACACTATTTCTAACAAATTCAACATGTTTCTGTCCTCATCAAATATCATATTGAAAGTTTGAATGTAACTGTTCACTGTAAGAGTATGAGTAAATATGTTTGTGGGTTGTGGTGTATGTTCCAGGGACAGCAGAGTCAGATGTGCAATGTGCACCATGCCCCAATGGAACCTTCTCTGACCAGCACTCCTACACCCAGATCTGCCAGCACCACACAGAGTGAGTGACTCACACATTCATGCAGGCACAAACGCATGCAAGCACGCACACACACACACAGACACGCACGCACACACACACAGCAATTACAGTGAGGGAAAAAAGTATTTGATCCCCTGCTGATTTTGTATGTTTGCCCACTGACAAAGACATGATCAGTCTATCATTTTAATGGTAGGTTTATTTGAACAGTGAGAGACAGAATAACAACAAAAAAATCCAGAAAAACGCATGTCAAAAATGTTATAAATTGATTTGCATTTTAATGAGGGAAATAAGTATTTGACCCCTCTGCAAAACATGACTTAGTACTTGGTGGTAAAACCCTTGTTGGCAATCACAGAGGTCAGACGTTTCTTGTAGATGGCCACCAGGTTTGCACACATCTCAGGAGGGATTTTGTCCCACTCCTCTTTGCAGATCTTCTCCAAGTCATTAAGGTTTCGAGGTTGACGTTTGGCAACTCGAACCTTCAGCTCCCTCCACAGATTTTCTATGGGATTAAAGGTCTGGAGACTGGCTAGGCCACTCCAGAACCTTAATGTGCTTCTTCTTGAGCCACTCCTTTGTTGCCTTGGCCGTGTGTTTTGGGTCATTGTCATGCTGGAATACCCATCCACGACCTATTGTCAATGCCCTGGCTGAGGGAAGGAGGTTCTCACCCAAGATTTGACGGTACATGGCCCCGTCCATCGTCCCTTTGATGCGGTGAAGTTGTCCTGTCCCCTTAGCAGAAAAACACCCCCAAAGCATAATGTTTCCACCTCCATGTTTGACGGTGGGGATGGTGTTCTTGGGGTCATAGGCAGCATTCCTCCTCCTCCAAACACGGTGAGTTGAGTTGATGCCAAAGAGCTTGATTTTGGTCTCATCTGACCACAACCCTTTCACACAGTTCTCCTCTGAATCATTCAGATGTTCATTGGCAAACTTCAGACGGGCCTGTATATGTGCTTTCTTGAGCAGGGGGACCTTGTGGGCGCTGCAGGATTTCAGTCCTTCACGGCGTAGTGTGTTACCAATTGTTTTCTTGGTGACTATGGTCCCAGCTGCCTTGAGATCATTGACAATATCCTCCTGTGTAGTTCTGGGCTGATTCCTCAACGTTCTCATGATCATTGCAACTCCACGAGGTCAGATCTTGCATGGAGCCCCAGGCCGAGGGAGATTGACAGTTATTTTGTGTTTCTTCCATTTGCGAAAAATCGCACCAACTGTTGTCACCTTCTCACCAAGCTGCTTGGCGATGGTCTTGTAGCCCATTCCAGCCTTGTGTAGGTCTACAATCTTGTCCCTGACATCCTTGGAGAGCTCTTTGGTCTTGGCCATGGTGGAGTGTTTTGGAATCTGATTGATTGATTGCTTCTGTGGACAGGTGTCTTTTATACAGGTAACAAGCTGAGATTAGGAGCACTCCCTTTAAGAGTGTGCTCCTAATCTCAGATCGTTACCTGTATAAAATACACCTGGGAGCCAGAAATCTTTCTGATTGAGAGGGGGTCAAATATTTATTTCCCTCATTAAAATGCAAATCAATTTATAACATTTTTGACATGTGTTTTTCTGGATTTCTTTGTTGTTATTCTGTCTCTCACTGTTCAAATAAACCTACCATTAAAATTATAGACTGATCATTTCTTTGTCAGTGGGCAAACGTACAAAATCAGCAGGGTATCAAATACTTTTTTCCCTCACTGTATTTGGACTGTCTGTATTGGTGTTAACAATGGGACTGTGACACTGTCTCCTCAGTTGTGTGTGTCAGGGGAGGGACGTACTGACTTACGGTAACGCCACCTCAGATGCGGTGTGTGGACCGAAGGTAAGTGGACCACTGGTCTGCATCTTCCAAACCACCACACCTCCCAGCCCACCGACCACAATGCCACCCTCTGGTACAGGGCATACCACACCAAGTCTACAGAGCATGCATATGTCTACACTACCAACCAACCTAGGCTCAAAGCTGACATCTAGTCCCTCTGAGCCACTGGCCATCGCTCCAACAGAAGAAAAACCACCAGGCTTTGACCTTGGGATAGGTAAATACAGGCAGCTATATAGTCCATGTGTCAGAGACCACTCTCATGATTTTAACATTTGTCCCCCGCCATCGCTCTTATACTGACACCGCTTTGTTGTACTCCCGCTCCTGTATCTATCAGTTGCAGGTGCTATCGGAGGTGTTATGTTCCTGCTGCTGATCATAGGCACTATCATTTACAAGAAAGGTAAAGCTTTAGAGTTAAACACTTGATTGTAATTGATTGCAAACATGACTATGAATATGACAAAATTTTACTATGTTCTCTTACAGCCTTCACTAAGTCCATACGTGTATCTTCTACAGAAGATATAAATGGAAATTCTGAGAAGGAGGCCATTAAAGTGAGTTTTTTTTGCCATTTAACCTTAAAGTATGTTGGAGGCAAGAACATTTCAACAGCTTCAACTCAAATATATTACATCTGTCTGTCTGTCTGTCTGTCTGTCTGTCTAATCTATTTCTCTCAGTTTGATTGTGACAGACCAATGGTTCTTCAGAACAGATCATTCAACACCACATATCAGGAACAGCGGTGTCTGCTGGGAAAAGGAGACTGCAGTAATGTCAGTCAGGCAGAGACCCAGCAGGAAGCTAGTAGGACCTGCTCAGGGTCAGGGTGCTTCAACAGCTTGGAGGGCCTGCCAATAGGCCCAGCCCAGTCCACCCTTCCACAGCCCAGCATCCAGGCCAGCACCCCCCAGCCCAGCCCCCAATCCACCAGCTCTCTGGCATCTATCCCCCTAGTTAATGTCAACATCACTGTTACCTACCCTGTGAACATAGGAAATGGGTTATGCTCCACACCTACCAGCACCCACATAGACTTACCACAAGCTGACCCCGTGGCCCATTTATCAAGGGAGGAGGAGGTGTATGTGAACATGCCACAGCAGGAGGGCAGCAAAGAGGCACGTACAGCAGTACAGGAGATTGGAAATGATGTATGAGGACTGGAGGCATATATGGGAGTATAAGATAATAGATTGTGTTTTAGTGATGTTTTTTTCACTGTGACTGTTGTCTGTTGTTATATGATTGCTACAAGAAGTACTGGTGCTGACTTTGTGTTGGTGGAGAGAGACAGAATGACTCAGGCAGGATTTCCCAAACTCGGTCCTGGGACCTCCCCTGGGTGCACGTTTAGTTTTTTGCCCTAGCACTACACAGCTGACTCAAATAACCAACTCATCATCAAACTTTGATTATTTGAATCAGCTGTGTAGCGCTAGGGCAAAAAACTAAACGTGCACCCAGGGAGGGGCCCGGGACCGAGTTTGGGAAACCCTGATATAATGTACTGTCTGTGCTGGAAAGTCTTGAGCAGCTGATTTAGATTGTCAACGACTGTTTGAAGAATTATTGATAAGTGAATGATGTACAGTTGAAGTCGGAAGTTTACATACACCTTAGCCAAATACATTTAAACTCAGTTTTTCCACAATTGCTGACATTTAATCTTAGTAAAACTTCCCTGTCTTAGGTCAGTTAGGATCACCACTTTATTTTAAGAATGTGAAATATCAGAATAATAGTAGAGAGAATGATTTATTTCAGCTTTTATTTATTTCATCACATTCCCAGTGGGTCAGAAGTTTACATACACTAAATTAGTATTTGGTAGCATTGCCTTTAAATTGTTTAACTTGGGTCAAACATTTCGGGTAGCCTTCCACAAGCTTCCCACAATAAGTTGGGTGAATTTTGGCCCATTCCTCCTGACAGAGCTGGTGTAACTGAGTCAGGTTTGTAGGCTCCTTACTCGCACACGCTTTTTCAGTTCTGCCCGCACATTTTCTATAGGATTGAGGTCAGGGCTTTGTGATGACCACTCTAATACCTTGACCTTGTACCAATACCTTGTTGTCCTTAGCCATTTTGCCACAACTTTGGAAGTATGCAACGGTCTAAGGCACTACATCTCAGTGCTTGAGGCATCACTACAGACCCCCTGGTTCGATTCCAGGCTGTATCACAACCGGCCGTGATTGGGAGTCCCGTAGGGCGGCGCACAATTGGCCCAGCGTCGTCCGGGTTTGGCCGGTGTAGGCCGTCATTGTAAATAAGAATTTGTTCTTAACTGACTTGCCTAGTTAAATAAAGGTAAAATAAATAAACTAAATAAAAATTGTCCATTTGGAAGACCCATTTGTGACCAAGCTTTAACTTCCTGACTGATGTCTTGAGATGTTGCTTCAATATATCCATATAAGTTTCCTTCCACATGATGCCATCTATTTTGTGAAGTGCACCAGTCCCTCCTGCAGCAAAGCACCCCCATAGCTTGATGCTGCCACCCCCCGTTCTTCACGGTTGGGATGGTGTTCCTCGGCTTGCAAGTCTTCCATTTTTCCTCCAAACATAACGATGGTCATTATGTCCAAACAGTTCTATTTTTGTTTCATCAGACCAGAGGACATTTCTCCAAAAAGTACGATCTTTGTCCCCATGTGCAGTTGCAAACCGTAGTCTGTCTTTTGTATGGTGGTTTTGGAGCAGTGGCTTCTTCCTTGCTGAGTGGCCTTTCAGGTTATGTCGATATAGGACTCGTTTTACTGTGGATATAGATACTTTTGTACCGGTTTCCTCCAGCATCTTCACAAGGTCCTTTAATGTTGTTCTGGGATTGATTTGCACATTTCGCACCAAAGTACGTTCATCTTTAGGAGACGGAACTCCTTCCTGAGCGGTATGACGGCTGCGTGGTCCCATGGTGTTTATACTTGCATACTATTGTTTGTACAGATGAACGTGGGACCTTCAGGCGTTTGGAAATTGCTCCCAAGGATGAACCAGACTTGTGGAGGTCTACAAATTTTTTTCTGAGGTCTTGGCTGATTTCTTTTGATTTTCCCATGATGTCAAGCAAAGAGGCACTGAGTTTGAAGGTAGACCTTGAAATACATCCTTAGGTCCACCTCCAATTGTGTCATGCACAATGTAGATGTCTGCGCCACTGGGTCTCCCGAGTGGCACAGTGGTCTAAGGCACTGCATCGCAGTGCTAGCTGTGCCACTAGAGATCCTGTTTCGAATCCAGGCTATATCGTAGCCGGCCATGACCGGGAGACCCATGGGGCGGCGCACAATTGGCCCAGCGTCGTCCAGGGTAGGGGAGGGAATGGCCGGCAGGGATGTAGCTCAGTTGGTAGAGCGTGGTGTTTACAACACCAGGGTTGTGGGTTTGATTCCCACGGGGGGCCAGTATGTAAAAATAATGTATGCACTCACAAACTGTAAGTCGCTCTGGATAAGAGCGTCTGCTAAATGACGTAAATGTAAATGTCCTAACCGATTGCCAAAACTATAGTTTGTTAACATGAAATGTGTGGAGTGGTTGAAAAACAAGTTTTAATGACTCCAACCTAAGTGTATGTAAACTTCCGATTTCAACTGTATGTAATTACTGTGAATGTTGTTGTAAGTATACTGTAAATGTTACATGGCTCAAAGTATCCCAAAATATTCCATCATAAGTAGGCAATAACCTTTCCTATACATACATTTTTAGAATTCATTATTACCTGTGTCGTATGAGAATATTTAATTTGTATTCTTATAAAATAACATGCCTATACTTTCCAGTGTATGGGTTCTTTGTCTCTACTTTGAGAAACTGAAATGGTAGACTAAATGAAACGGCTTTGTTTATTGCTTTTTTCCTATACACCTATTGAAACGGGTGGATTCTCTCTAAATAAGCAGCAACTGACTGGTAACAGATACTGAGTAATACATTCAAAACATCAGCTCAACTAGAATTCATGAATGATGGATGGGACATTTTTGTATAAAGAGTTTTGTATTTATATAATACTATCACCACCTGCTGGTTGAACTAAGATTTTTTTGTACCGTTTATTTATGCGCATAATATGATGTTGTATTATCCTTTCTCATCACCAGTAACTATATTTGGATTAACATAATTATTAGAGTGGCCTTCAGTAAAAAATTTAATAAAGGTTGAAAAAGTTGATTGATGCTCCAATAGGTCCACAAGGCAAAGTTATATTTTCAACTAAATTCACGGAAGGAGGGACGAGCAGGGTACGGAAGCAATCTTGCCCCATTGAAAGCAGTGCAGCCAAGCCTGATTTCAAGCAATAACGACACACATAGTTCATTTTTGGGGGGGACTTATAACTGGCATTATAGCTCCTGTCCAAATGTTGTGAATGATATATACTGTACATGTCATAGTCACCAGTCAACTCAATTACACTCAAAAGTTACTTCAACCAGTGAATGCTAGCGATGGTTAGCTATGCTAGCTATTCTACCTGTCTGTCTTAATGAGTGTTAGCACACTAATAGCACACCATGCACACTAACATTTTTATTTTTAAGGGGTATGCAGTAGGTTGATAACAATATCACCAAAGTATGTTGTATCATCAGACATGTCAAATAACATTCCCAGCTAATAAGAAAACAGTCCGATTATTTCATTTAAGAGAATGAACAAGATTTAACAAGGCAACCTTGGGACTAACTTGAATGGGCGACAACGGCAGATTTTGATGGATTTTTACATCCGTACCTCAGTACGGCCCACGTGACCGTAGTAAACATCACTTCGTGAGGGATTTTTTAAATCCCGTTCCCCCATTCATGTTCTAGCAGCAGTATCAACTTTGATCGTTTCGCGTTAGAAATAGTCAAAAAAGTCAAGTACTGTATTGAAATAAGATCACACATCTTTTATTGCAATCATATAGCGAGCAAGATAACCCTCACAAGAAACATTTTAAACAGTTGTGTGGCATATCAATCTCATATACAGGTAACTGCCAAAATAAAGGAAACACTCGAGTAAATGAGGGATACAAAGTATATTGAAAGCAGGTGCTTCCAAACAGGTTTAGCTCCTGACTTAATTAAGCAATTAAAACATCCCGTCATGTTTAAAAATTCCCAGTTGCCCATTATTTTGGATAACATGGCTAGAAGTAGAGATCTCAGTGACTTTGAAAGAGGGGTCTCAAAGGAGCATAGGGGGTTTAAAGGCTGTGTGTGTGTGTGTGTGTGTGTCTCAGTCACCAGATCTCAACCTAATTGAACACTTATGGGAGATTCTGGAGTGGCGCCTGAGACAGTGTTTTCCACCACCATCAACAAAACACCAAATTACAGAATTTCTCGTTCACAGATGGTGTCGCATCCATCCAACAAAGTTCCAGACACTTGTAGAATCTATACCAAGGCGCATTGAAGCTGTTCTGGCGGCTCGTGGTAGCCCAACGCCCTATTAAGACACTTTATGTTGGTGTTTTCTTATTTTGGCAGTACTTGTATGTTGCAGGTTCCAGGATTCCCTAGGGGTTCCAGGTTCCAGGATTATTTCCAGCAACATTGCAAACTGTTTTAGAGACTGATGGTCTGTTAGTGCTCCAGTCCTCCCTGTCATAATTAGCAACAGAGGACATGGAAAGCATGTTATGTCCCGTAGAAGTGCGGCCAATGTAAGTTCCATTTATGTTCCTCTAACTCCCCTCAATACCTCTGTCAATCTGTCAATACCTCTGTCAATCCGGCAGCTAGTGCTTAACAGAACAGGATTTAAACATGTTTTGAAGAGAAAATGTTCACATTGGCCCCATCCAGGGGTAACTTTGAACGGTGGCCATAGTGTCCCCAACACCCTCTGTCTCAGTCCCCAGTATCTATGCTGCAATAGTACAATAACCAAATAGTCTTTATTGATAATGTTCATTTTCGTCAGCAGTGACAGTAGATTTCTGCTAGAAAAAGTATTATGCGGTAAATCTCTAGGGTATTACAATGGATCTTATTAGTAGAGGGTCACAGGATTCTGAAATATCTCTCTTTTATACTGACAACTTCTATAGTTTAAATGGGAAATTAGATGTGGAGCGCTATAATGAAAAAACTATTTTGAGGGTGCAACAGTTCAACACCTCAGGAGACTTGAGCAAATTTCAAGTCTG